GGCTACAGAGAAACCCTGTCTCCAAAGGGGGGGGGGGGAAAGAGAGTGTGAGTGTCTACATCCATTTTCTGACCAGTGAACAGGGATACAAGGACAAAAAGAGCCCCAGCAGTGAAAAATTATTTGATTTTCTACTCCCTTTTCCCACCTCTCCACCTCAGCCTCAACTTCTTGATTGCTGCAGTTATCAGCAGTACCCCTGGTGAAGACTTTTTTTGAGACAGGGTCTCCCTGTAGCCACAGATGGCCTGGAACTCACTGAGGCTGGCCTCGATTTACAGAGATCCACCTGCCTCTGCCTCCCAAATGCTGGGATTAAAGTCGTGTGCCACCATGCCCAGCAGTGGAGACTTTAAAAAAGTAAAAACAAAGTTTGAGAACAGGATGGGGCAGAAGTGTAAAAGGTTTAAGGACCAAAACAAAAAAAAGAGGGAGGGAGAGAAAAGTAAAATAAGCTAAGGTACTCAAGGTTTACTAGGGACAGGGATGTATCTCAGTACTTTACTAGCATTCAGGAAGTCCTGGGTTTGATCCCCAACACTGCATGAATCTGGCAGTGTAGCCCATGTCTCTAATCCCAGCGCTCAGGAGGATCAGAAGTTCAAAGTCATCCTCAGCTACATAGCAAGTTCCAGGCCAGCCTGGGCTACATGAAACCTAGTCTCAAAACTTTAATAAATAAGCAAGAACACTGTACACAGAAATAACATGCAAATGCATGGAGGCACATGGGAAGACATTTACTAAACAATGTTAAATACTGTTGCAGTAAAGACAAAGAACAGAAGAGAGCAGGAAGTCATACTGTAAGGAATTGGATCAAAAAAAGACATAAAAATCCAACAGTTTAGATTTTATCCTGTAAGGAATAAGAAACTACTGAAGGTTTTTTTTTAACAGAGCCATATACAAATATGACATATGCAGTGTTTGTCAAAGTTAAGGTGCAAGTTTATTGGGACCTGAAGCATATACACTTTAGATGGTAGGGCTAGAGGACTTTCTTAGAAAGAATATGGAGTAGTGAATACAAAATTGAGCAGTTAGGGTATTTTTAGGAAGAATTTCTACACCTGGATAATAACTATGAGTAGAAATTATATGTCACATATAAGTGCCCTATGAAAACTAAACTGAATGCATCCCTCAAATCAACTGTAGGTAGACCTCAAATATGTCTAAGGCAGCTCCAACACCACCTAATTCAAGGGAAAGTGTGATTAATCTCTCAGTGGAAACAAACAGCAGTTTGAATCAATTGTAAACTTATGTGACAGACAATATGACAAAGTGATCAGTCTTGAAGCTTAAGCTTTCTTAGCTTCACAAGCAATCAGGAGAGAGAATAAAGTAGTTTTTCCACTAGTCTGGGGAGAAAAAGGAGGACCTGGCACCAAGATAGTGGGTGGTGGGAACTGAAAATAGTCAGGTAATCTGTATATTTTGGAGACTGAATAAGACTTAGAGGACTAACAGAAAACAGTGGGTGAATGAGGGAAAAGGATAAGTTAATTTCTGGGTTGAGTTTAGAATGGATGATAGTGCCACTAACTGTGCCACGGTATACAGAAAAACAGGGTTGACACAGAAGAAGAGAATAAGTTTGACTTGAAGTATGTTAAGCTATACAAAGTATGTTAAGCTCACCCAACCATCAGTCCCTCCCAACGTTCCTTCTTCCTTCCTTGATTTGGTTTGTGTTTGGGTTTGTGAGACAGGTTTCACTATATAACCAAGGTGGCCTCAAACTCACTATCTAGCTTAGGCTAACCTGTAACTCATGCTCTTCCTGCCTAATCCTCCTGAGTGCTGGGATTACAAGCACGCACTACCACACCTGGCCCCAACATTTATTAAGCATCTACTATACATCAGGCACTGTGCTAAAGGATGAGGATGTTAATGTATTCCAATTAAGACTCTGACCAACAGAGCTGACATTCTAACAAGGGAATCAGTCAATAATAAAATAAAACTTCACTTGTGTGTTTATTGTACATCTACCATTATATGTAGCAGGGAATCTGGGGTAAATATACCATGACAAGCTCCATGTTCCCCTGTGATTCATATTCAAGCAAGGGAGACAAATGACAGAATCAAATAATTCCTGATTAGAGCAAATGCTATCAAGTTACCAGGTAAAGAGCACTCCTCTATCTTATTCTATGTAGGTTGACCAGTTGTGGGTCTCTATGTTAATCACCATCTACTAAAAGAAATCTCTCTGATGAGAGTTGAGAGATATACAAATTCTGGGTACAATAATAAGTCATTAGGAATTGGTTAAATACTATGTACATTTAGCAGAATAATAGTAGTAAGATCTCCCCTAGGGCCTACCATCTGTCTAGCCACAGGTTCCTGATCCCCACAACTGTGTCAGGTATGGGTTCCATCTTGTGGAGAAGGCTTAAATCCAATCAGAAAATGTTTGGTTACTACCATAACATTCATACCACTATTGCACCAATGGGTATATCTTGTCAGGCCTATCGTTTTTTGTAACAGTGTTTACAGATAGATGAGACTGATGATTACTTTTATCTTCTGGTAGCATGCATAGCACCTTTGGCATGCTTAGCCCTAAATGGCACAACTATATCACACCGTTCCCCCAAAGGCATTGCAGAAGAGGGGGCAGAATGATTGTAAGAGCCAGAGGTGGTGGATGACTACAACAAAACTGTGTTTTCTGTGCACAACAGAGCAGTTGCACATCTGGACCCACAGCACTTGTGACAGCCTGCACAAGATCTGTATACACTTAAGCCAGACAAAATCCCAGTGTGGAGGGGGAAGTGGGCACAAAGCTCCACTCCCAGCTGAGGAGCTGTTGACTGTTGATAGCTGCTGGGAGTGCGAGAGTCAGTTTTCTTTAAGGGTGTGAGCCTGGGTAGATTGGCCACACTCCAGGAGATGGACCCACTCCCAAGAGTATTTGGGGCACAAATTGGACTTAGACTTTAAAAAAAGAAAGAAGACATGAAGTTGGTAGGGTGGATCTGAGAGGAGATGGGGGAGGGGCTTAAATATGATCAAAATACATTGTATGAAATTCTCAAAGGATGAATAAAAATAGTATTTAAAAAATGATCTGGGCCAGGTGTGCTAGTGCACGCCTGTAGTCCCAGCGCTTGAGAGGCAGAG